CACCCAGGAGCCCTGGCCCTGGCTTCTCTCTGTGGTTCCTGGGAGCTTGCTCTTCAGCCCTGATGTCGAGCATCGCTCCTACTCAGGTGGCCAAAACTAAGCAGCAGATCGAGGAGCAGCGGGTCCAGGTGCAGGTGGTGGAGCGGGCCCAGCAGGTGGCAGTGCAGGAACAGGAGATCGCCCGCCGAGAGAAGGAGCTGGAGGCCCGAGTTCGGAAGCCCGCGGAAGCCGAGCGCTACAAGCTGGAGCGCCTAGCTGAGGCAGAGAAGTAAATTCCCCTCCCAGGCCCCATCCTAGTCCTTTATGACCTGGGTGCCCCCATATGAAGAGCTGAGGCCTTCACTACCTGAACTCCTATGGAACTCGAGTTACAGACGCCTGTGTCTCTCGAGCAGGGCCTGCCTTTTGGGCCTTCCTCAGCCCTTCCCTCCACTTCCCTTTCTGTGCCCAGGTCCCAGCTGATCATGCAAGCTGAGGCAGAAGCTGAGTCTGTGAGGGTGAGTTAAGAGGTGGCTCTTGGCGGCTTGTGGAGCAAGTGGGGGTTGCTGTTTGAGCTGGGGTTTCTTGTCCTTAACAACAGCCGTCAGTCCCACAGTTTCCTGTACTGTTTTCAGATGCGTGGGGAGGCCGAGGCCTTTGCCATAGGGGCTCGAGCTCGGGCCGAGGCCGAGCAGATGGCCAAGAAGGCAGAAGCGTTCCAGCTGTACCGTGAGGCCGCTCAGCTGGACATGCTGCTGGAGAAGCTGCCCCAGGTCTGCATGTGGTGTGGGCACCAGGAGAGGAACAGAACCAGGGAGTATAGGGTGGGGGTGGGGGGAAGGGAGGGGCTTGGGGAGGGCCAGACTAGGGAACTGTAAATTAGGGGTGGGAATTATAAGTGAGGAGGGATGATCCTTACAAACTGAAGAATGTCAATGATCTCGAAGCCCAGGGTAAGGTGTTTGAGGAGGGGTGTGATCAGACCACAGGTGCTGAGAGTGCATCTCTCACCTACCAGGTAGCAGAGGAGATCAGTGGTCCCCTGACCTCAGCCAATAAGATCACACTGGTGTCCAGTGGAGGTGGGACTATGGGGGCGGCCAAAGTGACCGGTGAAGTACTGGACATCCTGACCCGCCTGCCGGAGAGCGTGGAGAGACTCACAGGCGTCAGCATCTCCCAGGTGAGGGTCTCTAGGGTGAGCACCATGGATTTCCTGTAAATTTCTGGGTTCCCCAGGCATGTGATGCAGTAGGCTTAGTACTAGGCCCGCACCCAGGAGGCTCCAGAGCCATTGACATCTTTGTTTTCTATATGCTAGATGCGGTGCTAAGCTGCTGCTGCTACTGCTTTTTTAGAAGGATTTTATTTATTTCAGAGGAAGGAGAAAGCTTGAATGGGGGGAAGGGGAGAGGGCAAGACAGATTCCCCACTGAGCAGAGAGCCTGATGTGGGGCTCAGTCCCAGGACCCTGGGATCATGACCTGAGCTGAAGGCAGAGGCTTAACCCACTGAGCCCTCTAGGTGTCCCCAGAGTGCTAAGCTTCTACACAAATGGTTGGTTTTTGTTTTTGCTTGTTTGTTTTTTAACGAAACTGTCCTTTGTGTATATAGTATTTTACAAAGTAAAGAAACAACTTTCAATATGTTAAGGAACTGTGCCCCATCATACGGCTGGTAAAGCTAGATTTCAAACCCAGGCTGACTGTCTTCTAGAGCCTTGTGGTCGCCCCACTAGCACAAGGAACTGGTTGCAGCCGTTACTGCTTTTCTTGGTGCCTGTTTATTTACCTACAGATTATGACAGAGGTCAGAGAGCAGGATATGGAACCATAGTGAATCCTGGCTCTGGTCATGCTAGCTGTGACCTTAGACAAGTTAGCTACTTCTATGTACCTTTTTTCTCACCTTAAAATCAGGTTAATAATAGTATCTACTCTATTGAATTATTAAGGGAATTAAATGGGTATTTGTAGTGTTTAGCACAGTGCCTGGCACATACTATATATGAGAGTCCTTAAGAAAAAATTATATAGGGGCACCTGAGTGGCTCAGTCGGTTAAGCATCCAGCTCTTGGTTGCAGCTCAGGTCATGATCTTGGGGTCCTGTGTTGGGCTCTGTGCTCAGTGCTGAGTCTACTTGTCCCTCTCCCTCCCCCTGCTTGTGCATATTCTCTCTCAAAGTACCTTTAAAAAAAATTACATATGTAAGTGAAAGCAGTAGACCATAACAGTGACCTTCAAGTTAGATTCCTTGGATTCTTCTTGAAGCCGGCATTGAAAGCCCTGAAAGATGAGCTAAGGAGAGTCTGTGCAAGCAGGGTTCTAGCCCCCTCCACTCCTTTTCAGTGATTTTTTGCTGTGGGCAGGTCCTGATGACCACTTGACAAGAGGGTAAGGTAGGGTGGCAGAAAAAACTTCTTAGAAGACTTTTGAAATGCATGTCCTCCCTGCAGCCCTCATCCAGATGGGGAGCTGGGAGAACAGGTTACATGATTCCCAGGTTTCATCGTTGTTGTCTTTTTACCAGGTTAACCACAAGCCTTTGCGAACAGCCTGAGCCAACCTTCGCTCCAGTACCTAGCCTCATGGTTGCCAGAATAGTACCCATACTGCATGCACAACTGGCTTCCCTGAGCATGCCCTTGACAGTGGGGTATTCCCCCCATCTCCTTGCCAAATAGCCTGTGCCTTGCCTTGGAGGGGAAAGGTTGCTCTTCCCAGCCCCACACTGCTGAGACTACCAGTCCCCCCAGGGGTTCCATGCCAGCCTTCTGATTATCTTACTCACCCCCAACTTAACTTCCTAGACCATGTGCACCTATTGTCTAGAATTTTCCTGACCAAAACTGAGGGATGGCCTGAGGTTAACTTTGTCAAATCAATTGCTGTTAAAAAGCACTAACACTGATTAACAATTAACTTAATAAAGCAGAACTCATTCAAAATTAATGCTGGAATGTAGCTTACTCCCTTTCATTCAATATATTTCTTAGAATGGAAGAAGTTGGGGGCGCCTGCATGGCTCAGTGGGTTAAAGCCTCTACCTTAGGCTCTGGGATTGAGCCCGCATTGGGCTCTCTGCTCTGTGGGGTGCCTGCTTCCTCCTCTCTGCCTGCCTGTGATCTCTGTCAAATAAAACCTTAAAAAAAAAATGGGAGAAGTTACCTTGTACACTGTTAAAATTGTACCACTTTTTTCCTGCAAAGTTGGTTATAGGCAGAAAATCATGCTGAAATGGAAGTAGTGAGAATTGACGTAGTCCCAAAAACTACTGAAAATAAGGAAATTAGACTTAAATTTCCAGGGTCACTCTGAGATTTTGTGTACTTAGAAGCATGTTGTATTAGGTTTAACGGTGTTACTTTAGAATGGGACCATTAAGTGATACTCTCCACTGGTTAACTTTCCCTAGTGTTAACTGAGAAAATCCCAAAGGGTAAGAGAAAACATCAAGATACCATAGCCCAAACAAACCCTGTATGCCCTGGATGAGCTACACATTTTATATGGGGCAGTAGCTCTCAACTCTGCATTTGCCAATATTCTCCTGGAGTAGTTAAAAATAGATGGCTAGTTAACTGGTTTCTGGTTGGGTAGGCCCAAAGATCTGCATTTCTAAGTTCCAGGAGGTTGTTGATGGGCTGGGAAGCACTTATGCCCTATTTAACATTCATCTCAATTCTCATTGATCCTGTGTATCTGAGCCTATGGCTCTCCCAGTTATTGAGGCTGGTAGTGAGGTGCTGGGGTAGTTTGGGTACTAGGATTAACAGAAGAGGTTGGAGCGCCTGGGTGGCTGAGTTGGTTAAGCCTCTGCCTTCAGCTCAGTCCCTGATCTCAGGGTCCTGGATCAAGCCTGCATCAGGCGCTCTGTTCAGCAGGGAGTTGCTTACCCCCCTCTCTGCCTGCCTTTTTTTTTTTTTTTTTTTTTTGCCTACTTGTGAGCGGTCAAATAAAATCTTAAAAAAAAAAAAAGAGGGTCCATTAAGTATAAGGATATTCTCATCCGTTCATGGAGAGCAAAGTGTCTGTGGTGCTGAACTTGAGCCTCCTGTATCCACTGGTACTCTTTCCCTAAATGAGCACACATCTCGCAACTTAATTTTTTCAGTTATTTATTTTTGGCTCTTGGGGCAATGTTATCTTTTCAATATGAAAAAAAGCAAGTTCAACACAAAACAGAAATTTGAAGTGTAGGATAGGATGAAGCCGAGGGCAGGGGAGGGAATAGCAAAAGGAAAAAATGAGATGTTGCCAAAGATGGGAGGGTCTCCTTGTCCCCTCTCTGGAAGAATGATTCAAAAGATTTAGGTGGCAGTACAAACCTTTCTGTATATATACAGCAGAGCTGGGTGTTTGCTAAGAAAGGGTGGGGATGGGGAGGCTAGTCCCTCTTCCCCTTCTTGGCCCCCTTCTCCAACCAGGGGAAAAGGAAGGAATCCAACATATGAAGGTGGTTATGTAGGAAAAGGGAAGGATCCTGCTTTAACAGGGTGGGGCAGACCCCTGCAAAAGAAACAGCTCAGGACACAGCTTGGAAGACGGAAAAAGAGAGATAATACTGTCAACACCTCTCCTGAAGCTGAGAGGAGCAGGGAAATTCCTGGAAATTAGGACTCAAGAGCCTGGATATCCCTCTCCAAAACTGCTCTAGAATAGAAAACCTTACCCCTTCCTTATAGGTACCTCTACTGCTATGAGGTAGCTTTGTTTCCTTTCCCCGGGGCTACCACATGGGCTTAGGATGGTGGCCATCTACTGGGTTTTAAGCACTTGGTTTTAGATGGGATCTGATGAGACCCAGCTTCTTGGAGAATTATCTTATAAAACAAAGGGAAATACCAACTGGACAGATGGGAGAAGGGGACACCGAAAGGAAATACAGGGTTACTGAGAATGGCAGAAATCTAGGTTTCCCAGAGTGGAAGAGAGGAGACATTCAACAAACAACAAGTATTTATTGAGCGCCCATTATGTGCCAGGCACTGTGTTCTAGGACCATCCCCCTCCAAAAAAGGAAAAAAAAAGAGACAGAGGCAGAAAATGTAATTCTGAGGGAGAGGACAGGGGCAGCTGAGGAAGAAGGCTGAGGGAATGGAGAAGCCTGAGGTGATGGTGCTCTGCCTTAGGCCTCCTCTTCAGCCTCCTCACCGAAATCCTCCTCTTCTTCTGCGGTGGCATCCTGGTACTGCTGGTACTCGGAGACAAGGTCATTCATGTTGCTCTCAGCTTCAGTGAATTCCATCTCGTCCATGCCCTCACCTGTGTACCAGTGGAGGAAGGCCTTGCGCCGGAACATGGCCGTAAACTGCTCTGAGATGCGCTTGAAGAGCTCCTGGATGGCTGTACTATTTCCAATGAAGGTGACTGCCATCTTGAGGCCACGAGGTGGGATATCGCAGACTGCTGTCTTGACATTGTTGGGGATCCACTCCACGAAGTAGCTGCTATTCTTGTTCTGCACGTTGAGCATCTGCTCATCTACCTCCTTCATGGACATCCGCCCACGGAAGACAGCAGCCACAGTGAGGTAACGGCCATGGCGGGGGTCACAGGCAGCCATCATGTTCTTGGCATCAAAGACCTGCTGGGTGAGTTCAGGCACAGTGAGGGCCCGATACTGCTGGCTTCCACGGCTGGTCAGAGGTGCAAAGCCAGGCATGAAGAAGTGGAGCCGTGGGAAGGGTACCATGTTGACGGCTAGCTTCCGGAGGTCAGCATTGAGCTGACCAGGGAAGCGGAGGCAGGTGGTGACACCACTCATGGTGGCTGAGACGAGGTGGTTCAGGTCTCCGTAGGTTGGTGTGGTCAGCTTGAGAGTGCGGAAGCAGATGTCATAAAGGGCCTCGTTGTCAATGCAGTAGGTCTCATCTGTGTTCTCTACCAACTGATGGACGGAGAGGGTGGCATTGTAGGGCTCGACCACAGTGTCAGACACTTTGGGTGAGGGTACCACACTGAAGGTGTTCATGATGCGGTCAGGATACTCTTCTCGGATCTTGCTGATGAGCAAGGTGCCCATTCCAGAGCCTGTGCCCCCACCCAGTGAGTGGGTCAGCTGGAAGCCCTGTAGGCAGTCACAGCTCTCTGCCTCCTTCCTCACCACATCCAGGACTGAGTCAACCAGCTCAGCCCCCTCTGTGTAGTGGCCTTTGGCCCAGTTGTTGCCTGCCCCAGACTGACCTGGAATGGGGTGGAGAGGCAAGCTTGATTAGTAAAGAAAGATAAAGGACCAAATTTCCACTTTTTAACTTTTGGAATTGTGTACACAAATGTGCCTTCTTTCTCACTCACCTGTAATACATCCCTCCCCCGTTATTAACCAACTAGGGAGTCACAACCAATGCCTATATTAGAGATTTCAGAACACGGCCCTGGTTAAGCACCCCAGTATACCAAATCTACTAGCCCTTGCTGTCTCCTTTACTCAAATACGCTGAACAGCATTACCTATTAGTATGTGTATAACTCACCAAAAACAAAGTTGTCTGGTCTGAATATCTGCCCAAAAGGACCTGAGCGAACAGAGTCCATGGTCCCGGGTTCTAGATCCACCAAGATAGCACGAGGAACATATTTGCCACCTATATGGAAGAAAAGAGTCAAAATTGGCAAAGGAGATCACCTGGAGCAGGGAGACCGCCAGGGGCCCTAACTTGTGATTCCAAGTGCGGCCACCAGGGGGCAGAGGAGCCAATCTTTTGCCCCATGGTGGGCAATCAAACCAAAGCCGCCTTTAAAAAAAAAGGAGAGAGCCATCCAAAAATATTAAGAGGTTCTCCAAGGCTGGAAGAGACCCCAGAGAAGCGGAAGAGGAGATGGGACCCAAAATTCCCTGGACTCCCAACCTCACCTGTAGCTTCATTGTAGTACACGGAGATGCGATCCAGCTGCAGGTCGCTGTCACCGTGGTAGGTTCCAGTGGGGTCGATGCCGTGTTCATCACTGATTACCTCCCAGAACTGCGGAGGGAAAGCAATGCGACTTCCAGCCAATTATGCCCACCCGACCTACACACATTTTAATCCCGGACACGCCCGTGGCAAGCCTGGTTCTAGGGCCTGTGGCATTCCCTCCCCCTGCCCGCCATATCCTTCTACTAGACATCCCCAACTCCAGGAAAGCTGCAGCTTTCATTGCCTGGAATGTGAGACGAGGTGCAACTGAGGAGGTCTTGCGATCGCAGGAAATTGTAGGGTTGGAATGTGAGGAGAGGGAGATGGAAACGGCCAACCAGACTGGACAAGCACACCTTTCTACCGCGCACAATGGGCCGGTGTTGGAGACCAGACGCTGCCGCAATCAACCAGCCCCCCACCCCGCCCTCCACGTGACTGCGGCGCCCGCGCCCGCCGCGCCACCGACAAAGGGAGGTGTCGCGCGTGGGCGTGGCGTGAATACCGCCCACGAGAGGCGGGGCTCGGCTTGGGCTAGGGCGCCCCCAGCCGGCCGGCAGGGCCGCATTGTCCCGGCGCGCCACGGGCGCCCGGGGCCCCGCCCTTCTGCTACAACGTAGCAGCAGCACTTCCTCCCTGCCCTTCCCCCGCTACACTGTAACCGCGCGAAAAAAAAAAAAAAAACCCACCAAAGAAAACATCCCCCACCCCTTGCCTTGGCCCCGGAATTTTCTTTCTTTGCTAGCTTTTTACCCCTTGCTTTAAATAAGGATTCTCTTCCTTTCTTCCACCGTTTAGTCCTGAGGGACCCTTTAAAGAAAAGGACTCTCCTACCCTCTTTCTTTATATTGGTTCACGCCCTAAGAGGGTCTCTTTACGGGAGATGTAAGGAAATAAAATTAATCCAGCAGCTATTAGTCTTCCATCCACAAAGAATTACGGGACCGCCCCTCGGGAATCGCGGGCGCGCGAGATGCCTATCTTTTGGGAAGGGTACCGAGCAGTGCAGCCCACCCTGGCGCACCCGTCCCCCACCCCACCGTGGGATCCAGGCTCCCCTCAGCCGCCGCCCAGCCTCGCCCCTTCCCCCTCCGGCGAAGCCCAGCCAAGAGTGGATGCACATGGGGAAACCTCGCCTCGCTTTGTCTCGGACGTTTCCGCATCTCCCTCCCTCCCCGTCCTCGGACCGTTAGAACACTTTCAAATAAAATCTTACAGAACCACGGTCTTCCCACCGCCAAACCGAAGGGTCATTAACAGCTTCCACCAAAATGAACCAGCCAAGACTAATTCCCATTTTTCGCAAACAAATTCTAGCTACAAACGTCTATTATATATGGAAAACTTTTGAGGGGCAAAGCCTGACGATGGGTGGTATGCAAATATATATCACAGCCATCGTTAATCTGGATTTTTTTTCTTCTCTAAAGAAATATAGTTAAAAGAAGAGGTTCAAAATCCTTACCTTGGCACCGATCTGGTTGCCACACTGACCGGCCTGGATGTGCACGATTTCCCTCATTGTTAAAATTTATTTTAATTTTTTTGCTCGCCTCAAGGTGTGTACGGGGCAAGAAATGATATGGAATTTTTTTTTCTATACTGCTAGTCTCAGGCTGGAAGGATGGGACGTGTCCTGGAGGCTGGAGCAGCGAGGTCCGAACGCAGCCGCAGGAAGGTTCTGAGAGAGAGAAAAGAGAGGGGAGGGCAAAAGAGGGAAGGCGGGCAGGGCGGGGCGCGCGTGCGCCTAGGCTGGGAGGCGGGAGAACAGGCCCCGCGCCACGGTCGGGAGACAAAGCCTTATCGAGGCTGGACCTGATTAGTCGATGCCAGTCACATATAAGACATCCATTGGTCTCTGCTCGGATGGACGAACGCAAGCCTCCCTGGGAGTAGTAGTCCTCCATTGTTGTCCGCGCTGCAAAATGAAGGGATGGATGGGTGGATAGTGGATTTTTGCTTTGGGGTTTTTTTTAAGGTTTTTTGTTTGTTTATCAAAAATGACCTTGCGCAAGTTTTCTTTCACCTATGCTTGAGTTTTTTGTACTAAAAGGGCGTAGTTTTCGGGGATACAGGAATTGGGATCCCTAGGGTGCCAGGCGTTGGAAGGTGGAGTGGGCACGCCCTGAAGGCTCCCTACTGCGGTAGCTATTGGGGAACGGGCTGCTTCGCTCAGCGAAAACTGGGGAAAATGCGGCACCTTGCTCTGCTACCTAATAGCTGGTCCTTTGGTGACCCAGGACATGAACTCGTAAGATGCTGCTCCCCCAGACAGGAAGAAAGGGGGGATTGCCCTCCTGCTGTTTTCTTGTAAGTTTTCTAGTGATAACCTTTAGAAACAGAATTGTAGCAATGGTTTTTCAAATTAGAGATGTAATTGTCTGAGGGTGTGTTCACAGAGTAAGTTGAATGGTTTATAAAAACTGGTATCTGGAATCTGTGAAGTCATTAGTTTCTGTCCATGTAAGGGGTTCTGGACTTTAGAGCAGCATTGGAGACACTGCTTTTGTCAGAGAACTATGGGATGAGGAGCCTGAATTTCAATGCCTTCCAGCCTGCCTCTAGACATTTTGGTGATAGTGTTTTTCAGTTTGCTGAATTCTTTGACTACATGGCTGGCCCTTGCAATCTTTCGAAAGCCTCAAGATTGAAACAAAAGAGGGGGGCGGATGGGAGAAAATAGGATGGGCTCAAGTCAGAGTGGCGTGCTTCTTAGGGGTTAATTCCTTTGATAGATACTAAGTGTCCGCCAATCCAGAAGCTAAGGATACAAAATGAGTAAAAATTGGTTCACCGTCTTCAGGATTTTGCAATTTGTTGGAAAATGTATAAACAATGGAGTGTGGTAAGCACTCTAATAGGACGTGTATCAAGGTTATTGTTAATTCACAGTGCATTCAACACATTTCTCCTTACCTAAACAAAAAATAGACCTCAACTTGTGTTAAGACCTTCGCTACCCACTTAAAAAGAGAGTATTTTACGTTTCAGGGCATGATCACAAGGAAAGCAATTACTTTATTGGGGCGGGGGGAGTTCAGAATTTAGAATTACAGGACTTCAGTTGTTTCTCCCTTACATTGGCTGTAGGAACCTCGGCAGGTCCTATAACTTCGCAGACTTCAATTCCCTCTGTAAAATCTACTTCTCCCTATTTAATTGTGATCGGAAGAAAGTGAGATAATTAATGCAAAAGGACTTCCTAAAGTACATACATAATCCAATTGTTACTATTCTCTTCTCGTCTTAGTACAATGAAATATGATTTTTATCAACCTTCCTCCACCTTTTGAAAGACCTCAACCTTTAAAATAGTTAACAAAACAATTCTCCCTCTTCGCCTACGGTTCCTTAGGAAAATGACCTCCAAATGTCCATCAGGGATGTAGTCTCCCGGAGGAAAGGACAGAACTTCCACTAAAAAAAAAAGAAAAGAAAAAAAAAAAGCCAAAGCAAAAGGAACTAAAGTTCCGCGGCGATGGAGAGGCATCAAACGCCACGCCTACGGGCAGTTCTCCAAACTGCAGCCTCTGGCCACGACTGCAACCCGCGCCTCATTTTCGTTTCTCATGAGTCAGCGGACTCCATGTCTGGGAGGACCGAGGAAGGGTTCTACCGCCGTAGTAGACGCATCCGGCGACGGCACTAGTAAGCCCCTCTATCCGCCAGCGGCGCCCAGACTCTGTGGTCGCGGTTTGGAAATCTGCGCGGGAAGTGGGCAGCGGAGGGTGAAGCAGCAGTGGGTTGTGCCTTGGAGCTGCCCAATCGAGGTGCGCCGTTCCGGGCGCCGATTACCGCCTCCCTCAATCAATTTCAAGCGCCCAGGAAAAGCCGCCCCTTTGAGCTGTTAAGGGGGCGGGGGCGAGGCTCTGGCTGGGCCTCTGGGTTGGGAGCTTCGTCAATCGTCGCGCAGCGGGGCTGTGACAGGCAGCAGCAGGAGCCAATCAGCGTATCGGCGCCCTCTCGGCCCGCGCGCCAGCGCCCCCGGGTCTCGGCCGTTACTGGTGGCGCGCGCGCGGGGACTCAAAGTAGGTGAGTTCTGGGGGGCCTCGCCCACCGCTCCTCGGAAGCCATCTTGGTTCTCTCGGAGGGCGGGAGGGGCGTGCCTTGGGTGCGACTGGGCGGAGGATACTTGGAAGTTTGTTTCTCGGGATTATAATACTCATCCTTCCTTGACGTCCCTCCCCGAGTTTAGGTATGAAGACGGGGAGACGTGGGACCTGGAACCTGGAGGGAGCCCCCTGGGGTGGAGATCAAAGATGGTGGGCCACTGGATTGGCGCCAAGGGCCCTGGGCTCCCGCTGAGTTCTCCATTCTTTAGGCCAGAGTTAGCACTATCCCCATGGACGCGGCCTAATTTCCCTGTCAACAGTTAACCTCTGCGGTGGCATCTTTCTGAGTGATTTCCACCCATACTGTGTTGACTTTTCATCACCTTTCATTTGTCCTTTCATCAGGAGTGCAGGGTTAATTTGACGTTTGGTTTGTGAAGAATGTATCCCGAGCTCTTTGAACAGTACCAGGTGCACAATAGGTACTGTCTCTTTGAACAGTACCCGTGGTGCACAGTAGGTACTGTCGAATGAATATGATGGGGCCTAGGGGAAAAGACACAGTTCTGCTGGTCCGGTTCTCTAGAGGGTCTGTGAAGGCAGAAATAGAATTAATGGTTACAATATAGTGAGAAGGATTAGGGGAAGTACAAGTTCAATGACCAATGGGGACCATGTGGGTACACGAAGAACACTAGAAGGCAAGGACAATTCCAGGAAAGTGACCTTTGAACTGAATCATAAACTATGGGTAAGAGTTGGACCAGAAAACTAGGAATGAAGGGCCAAGGAACTGGCTAAGGCATGCAGGTGTGGGAAACAACAGGAACAGGGTGTTCAGAAATTGGGAAGAAGGTCCATACGGCTGAAACATAGGCTTTGGTAGAGGGGAGCAGGACCTGAGGTTCAGATAATGGAGGATCTTGCTAAGGAGTTGAGATTTTACTTTATCCCGTGGGCATGGAAAGCCACCAAATATTAAACAGAGACAGTATCTTGGTGATCTTGGGCAAGTTCCTTAACCCACCTATGTTTCAGTTGCTTAGCCTGATAAATGGAATATAATAATAGTAGTTTACAAGGTTCTTGTGCGAATTAAGGGAGTCTCTCATTGTAAAGTAACTAGAGCAGTGCTTCACACATAGCAAACCTCTATGTATGTCAGCTGTTAGGATTCTTTGCAGCTTAGTTTGATCACACTGTGACGTTCTGGTAAAATATAAAAAGCCTGGGTTTTGCAGAAGCACATTTATTCTTGTCCTTTCCACCTACCTGCTGTGTTATCCTGAGCAAGTCATTTAATATTTTTAGCTTTGGTTTCCCAAATGCATGCCTCGTATGTCTATTATGCCTGACACATAACACAGTGCCCAACACACAGCTGATATTGGCAAAGTTTAGCTCCCTTTAAAATGTTTTTTTCAAACTGTGGGTTCCAACCCAGTAGTGGATAGTGAAATCAATTTAGTGGGTTGCAGATCAGCATTTAAACAATAATGGATGGGGGGGGGGAATGAAAACTGTCAGTGTATTGTATACCACAAGGCTAAGCATTGTTTCTCAAAATGTTTGTCTCTATACGTAAGCACATGCATTTGTATAGTTTGTGTACTTGGGACCTTCTAATATTTATTCCCTCTCCCGTAATATTTATGTTTATTATAGTCACAAATATTTTTGAAATGTTTCAGAAAGGTAATAACAGGATGATTGTCAGAAGGAGAAATGTCAACCATCTAGCTCTCCAGATTTACCCCAGTTATCAGCCTCCTCTTTAAGGCTGTGTGTGTGGACCTGTGATAGAGATGATGATAATGCGTTTCCTTCCCAGGTCATGGAGGACACCCAGGCTATTAACTGGGAGGTTGAAGAAGAGGAGGAGACAGAGAGACCCAGTGAATCCTTAGGGTGTAGCTTGGAGCCCGTAGGGCGACTGCATATCTTCAGTAGTGCCCATGGACCAGAAAAAGGTCAGAGGTTATTAGATGCTAAAGTACTGGTATAGGCCTCTTATTTTTGTGGGGAGGTAGTTGGAGGGTTGTAAGAAACTTATGCATGTTTCAAGGAGATCTGAAAAAATGTTTCACTGGGAATGCAGAGGAGGGGCCTGATTGAGTTGATTGTTTCAGGCAAGTACCCTGGGTTCAGTGGGCTCAGTTTTACTTTGGTAGGAGAAGATGAAGAGATTCATATGAAAATCCAGCATGGTCTGGAAATGGATGGTGGTGATAGTTGCACAACAATGTGAAGGTACTTAATGCCACTGAACTGTACACTTAAAAATGGTTAAATAGTAAATTTTTCATATATTTTACCACAGCAGAAAAAAATCCAATATGGATAGATAGGGTATTGACAATGAATAACACATTGCTTATATTCTTCAATACTTAGGTCTTCTGCAGTCTTGTGTGTGTGTGTGTGTGTCTGTGTAAGTAAAGCGACAAGTTTATTAAGTGAAGATATAAGGAAAAGCTCTCAAGAGTGAGGGGGTCCTGGAGCCCCTGGGTAGCTCAGTGGGTTAAGCCTCTGCCTTCGGCTCAGGTCATGATCTCAGGGTCCTAGGATGGAGCCCTGTATCAGGCTTTCCGCTCTGTGGGGATCCTGCTTCCCCCCCTCTCTCTGTCTGCCTCTCTGTGTACTTGTGATCTCTCTGTGTCTCTGTCAAATGAATAAATAAAATCTTTAAAAAAAAAAAAAAGTGAGGGAGTCCTGACAGGGTTGACTGTCTTTTGTTTTTCTTATGTGTGTGGGGATCTTGAGTTAGTAGTGGAGTACTTAATAGGAATATTTTCCTGATAGCAGGCCAAGACTCAAGCTTTAACTTATCTGCCTCTTTAATTCTTAGATTTCCCCCTGTATCTCGGGAAGAATATGGTGGGCCGAATGCCTGATTGCTCTGTGACCCTGCCCTTTTCATCCATCTCCAAACAACATGCAGTGATTGAAATTTTGGCCTGGGACAAAGCACCTGTCCTCCAAGATTGTGGCAGCCTCAATGGTACTCAAGTCCTAAGGCCTCCTAAGGTCCTAAGCCCAGGGGTGAGTCACCGCCTGAGGGACCAGGAGTTGATTCTCTTTGCTGACTTGCCCTGCCAGTACCATCGCCTGAATGTCCCCCTGCCCTTTGTTTCCCGGGGCCCTCTAACTGTAGAAGAGACACCCAGGGTACAGGGAGGAACTCAACCCCAGAGGCTCCTGTTGGCTGAGGACTCAGAGGAGGAAGTAGGTATGTCTGTGTATTGGGAGGGTGGGTGAGAAGATGGAGATGGTGAGTATAAAATAGTCAACTTACTCCTTTCTACTCTTGACAGATTCTCCTTCTGAAAGGTGTGTGATGAAAGGACCAAGAACCTCCCCTTTGGCAGCAGTAGTTCCAGAGAGGTGAGTGCCAAAGGGCCAGATACTTGAGTCTTCAAAAGGAGGAGGAACCAGGGACTGTAGGATCCATCTGCAAGAGATGCTTATCATGAAAGTGGGGAATTGCACATACTCTTTCACTCAGCTGAACTTTGATTGAGCACCTCTGATTGTGCCAAGTAGAGAACTAATTGCTGGAGAGAGGAACAAAACACCCACAAAAACCAAAAAACAGCTACTGCCTTGTGTCTGCCCTTATGGAGCTCATAGCTGAGCGGAGTATTCCTTCTTGGGAAACAGATGCTATAGACTCTTTCCCTTCTCTTCCCTTTGCAGTGATGAAGAGGGGCCTTCTCCTGCCCCAGATGGCCCTGGGCCACCATTTGCCTTCAACCTGGACAGTGACACAGATGAGGAAGAAAGTCAGCATCCAGCAGCAGGAGAGGCCTCCTTAGCTGCCAGAAGAGGCTCCACTGCAGAGACAGAACAGCCTACAGCTGTGGCAACTGAAATCCAGCTTGAAAAGGATCAGTGTTCAGTGAAGGAGAGGAACAATGGCACAGAAGTTGAGAGGGATGCAAGGAATGGGGTGGTCCCACTTGGGGCCACTCTGGCAAGAAACCAAACTGCTGAGGAGGACAGTGACACAGATATGGATGAGAGCAGGCCTGCTGAGGTCCACTGGGAAAGGGCCCAGCCTTCTGGCTTCACAGACAGTGATACTGATGTGGAAGAAGAAGGGATCCCTGCAACCCCAGCTGTAGTTCCTACGAAGAAGAGGCAAATCCTCCACGAAATTAGTACAAAGAGTCCTCAGGCACCTGCTTTGGTATATCTGCAGGAGAGCCCAGCCAGTAGTGATACAGATGCGGAAGAAAGTGAGTTCCAATTGGCAGTCCCTCCGGAGAGAAACCAAGCCTCCGTGGTGATTGACAGCAATACAGATGATGAGGAAGAAGTCTTAGCAGCACTTACTTTGGCACGTCTGAAAGAGAGCCAAGCCGATACATGGAACAGAGATCCTGATGTGGAAGAGAGCAGGGCCCAACCTGTGGCTCTTCTGGAGCAAAACCAAACCTCTGCTGGGAGAGACAGTGACACAGACTCGGAGGAGGAGGGTCTCCCAATCGAAAAGAAAGGAACTGTTCCCAAGTGTCATATAGACAAGGCATATTCAGAAAAAAGGCAGTCTCCTCTCCGAGACTGTGATCTAGGGGTAGACGAAGATAACAGCTCACTTGGGGTCCATCTGCAGAGAAGCCAAGCCTCTGCCACAGTGGACATCAACACACAAGTGGAGGAGAAAGCCCTATCAGGACCAGCCGTTACACTTGTGGAGAAGCTTCAAGTGCCTATGGTATGGACAAATCAAACAAATGTGGAAGTGGAAGGGGCAAAGCTGCCTGTGATGCATCTAGAGGAAACCCAGCCTCCTCCCCCTGGGGACTGTGAGACAGATGCAGAAGAGGGCACATCCTTAGCAGCCTCAGTGGTGGCAGATACAGGAAAGTGCCAGCTTCCAGCAGAAGGGGACGCTGGGACGGAATGGGCTGCAGCTGTTCTTGAGCAGGAGAGAGCTCTTGAGGCAAGGGCCCAGGGTGAATCCCTTGTGTCACAGGTGGAGCAGGATCTTCTCCCTGTCTCGAGGGAGAACCTTACAGATCTTGTGGTGGACACAGGCACTTCAGGGGAACCCATCCAGCCGCAGAGAGAGGGAGCCCAGACCCCCACAGAAAAGGAGAGAGAATTACGTGTGGACAGGACCAAGGACTCTGGGGACAACCATGGTGGTAAGTGCTGGACTTCCTCCCTTGACTCCTAAAAGAAAGAATGCAAAAATAACAATAATAAATAAATAAATAAATAAATAAATAAATAAATAAAAGAATGCTTATAGGGTTTTCTAGTCTATTTGAGCTGCTATAACAGAATGCCATAGGCTGGTTGGTTTATAAACAACAGAAATTTTTTCTTATAGTTGTGAAGGCTGGGAAGTCCCAGATCAGAGTGCCAGTATAGTCATGTTTTGCTGAAGACTGCTTCCTCTTCATAGGCAGCTGTCTTCTCACTGTGTCATCACATGGCAGAAGGGGCACAAAGGGAATTCTGGGGTCTCTTTTACAAGGGTACTATTCCCATTCATATGGGTTCTACCCTCATGACCTAATCATCTCCCAAAGAACTTACCTCCTAATAAAATCACATTGGAAATTAGGTTTCAACATATGAATTTGGGTGGGGATACAAACATTTGGTCCATTACAGAGGGCTTGGGGCTAGGGAGAAAATGGTAGAGAAAGAATATGGAAGTGTTAGATAAGACCTTTTTTTTTAAGGTTTTATTTTTTTGTCAGAGAGAGAGCAGCAGGCAGAGGGAGAAGCAGACTCCCCACTGAGCAAGGAGCCCAACAGGGGGCTTGATCCCAGGACCCTGGGATCATGACCTGAGCTGAAGGCAGACAGTTAACTGACTGAGTCACCCAGGTATCCCCAGATAGGACTTTCTATTATCTATCTTATATTTTCCTCTCTCAGATTCTGAAGACCTGGACCTACAGGCTACCCAGTGCTTTGTGGAGAGAGAGAATCAGAGCCCAGAAGGTGAGGACATCCATGTCATATGGATGTTGGTACAAGTGGGAGCTGGGAGCCCAGACTGGTGGTCCTTGAAGGTTGTGAATACTGGTGTGGGTGGGTCAGGAGGCCAGGAATGGGAGCCCAGAGTTCTCTGGAGGAGCTATGCTTGAGCCAGCTTTTCTTGTCCAGCAGTCCAGAGCATGGAGGATGAAGCTACCCAGGCCTTCCTGGTTACTCTACCCCAAGAGCCTGGCCCTTCCTGTTGCAGTTTCCAGGCCCCAGGTATAAGAAATTCTAGCCTTCATGCCCCTAACTTGGCATCATTGCTTTTCCCTCATGTTTCTTTCATAATCTTTGACTCTTCTGTGAATGTTTCTCCATCTCCATCATTTTTAAAGAGGCTGCTATGAGAATTTCTATGCACATGTGGGGTCTTAACTTAGACAAATATTAAATGTAGTGATTGTCCTCTTTATTCCAAGCCTTCCTTTAATAATCCACTTAGGTTTATCATTCATGAATTTTTTCTTTGAAAGATTTTATTTATTTATTAGAGAGAGCGCGCGCGCACACACCCACATGAATGGGGGAGAGGGGCAGAGGGAGAGGGAGAAGCAAGCTCCCCGCTGAGCAGGGAGCCTGATGTGGGGCTCACTTTCAGGACCCTGAGATCATGACCTGAGGTGGAGGCAGATGCTTAACTGACTGAGCCACCCAGGCACCCCTGTTATAAATTAATTATTCTTAATCTTTTCTCAACCTATTAAATTTTCAATCTGCATTTCTCTCCTCTTTTGACTCTTTACCTCCAGGTGCCCTGGATGAGCCATGGGAAGTCTTGGCAACACAGCCATTCTGTCCCAGAGAGTCTGAGGCCTCTGAGCCCCAGCCCATTGCTGCCCATCTTGATGCCCATGGATCTTGCCCCTCTACACCTAGGACAACACCACAAGCCCAACATCCAGAGATCCCAGTTCATGAAGAGGCACTAGGGACTCAAGGCAGAGGGATGCAGACTGTGGAGAAAGGCATGGGTACACCAAGGGGTACAGAGGGGATGACCCCTGAGAGAGGACTGTTGAACAGGGAAACCAAGAACCTGCCGGCAGAGGGGGTGACCCCTGAGAGAGGACTGTTGAACAGGGAAACCAAGAACCTGCCAGCAGAAGAGAGAGAAGATGTTATAGAAGAAGAATTAACCAGAGGGAAACAGATGTTAGCTAGAGATAATCAGGGACAAGAGTCTGACCAAAAGGTAAAAAGCGCAAGTATTGAAAGGAATATGGAGACTTTAAACATAGAAATTGAGATACCCAGGGAAGTACAAGAGGAAGAGATAGGAAAGCAGACTCTTGCAAGAGAAGTATTTGAGAGAGAAGCAGAGAAACTAGTACTAGAGAGAGAAGATGAGCCAAGTGGATTAGGCATTGAGGTACCAGAAGAAAAACTGGAGAGCAGCCCACAGAGAGGGGAAACAGAGAAAGGGAGCCAGGACCAGGAAGGGCAGACCTCCCATCTAACACCAGAGCCTAGAGCAGGGACGGGAGACCATCAGGGACTCAATTCAACCCTAGGAGTTTCTGGGAACCAGTCAGGTGGAGCCCCGATGAGCCCCAGGAGGCAGCAGAGAGGTAAGTGAAGGCAGAGGGAAACCCAAGATGGTACACAGCCCCTGTGCTAATCAACCCCTAAGTGTCTCAACTCTTAGACCTCAGCTCCACTTGCTTTTACTTTCTCTCTAGGCCACTGGACTTGCAAGATGCCACCTGCTGAGAAGGCCTCTGCGGTGAGAGCTGCTTTTTCTACCTCTTCACTGCCCCTTCACCTGACCTTGCTTTAGTCTACTTCTCCATCTTCCCGATTTTCTTCGGTTGTCACCACTCCTTAGTTGGCTTCTGTGCCTTTCCTTTCAACCTGTCATTTTCCATATCTGTTTCCCAAGTTCTATCTCCCTCTATCTGACTCAGAACGCCCATTTTTTCATGTCTTTTCCCTTTTTCCAACCATCCTTTTATTATCATCATCTATCTGTGGAGAACACTGCTGGCATGAGGAGAGGTCTGTGAGAATGAGGACTGCTCCCTCCCTAGGAAGTTCCCAGTCTCGTGGAAGGGAGGTCATAGATAAGTGAAATGCCAGGAACACACTCTAACCATAAACAAGTATTAAGAACATATCCAAGTACTGTCTCTCTTCTCTCTGCCTCTTCTTCCCTCACTTGCTTCTGTTTCTCCTCAGGGTGATCAGGAATCTGCAGATGCTTGTCTGCCTCCTGCAGTGCCTGAAGCCTCAACCCTCCACCACAACTCCCTCCTCTTTCAGAGTCAAAAACATCCTGTGCCCCAGCCCTTCCTTTCTCCCTCTCCATCTTCTTTAGAGCCCATTCCCAGAACCAGACAAAATGGGAATCAGGAAGTTCCAGAGACTACCTTGTCCTCAGACATGGAGCCTCTCCACTCAAAATCCAAAGTCAGGCTCCGAGGGTCCTCCAGGAAGACACCCTCTGCAGTTTCTTCTTTAGCCCTTGAACCTCACTCTACCATCCCCACAGACCAGCCCCTCAGTCCTGAGCTCACATCTCGGGTCACTCGGGGCAGGACACGTAGGTCCTCTGTCATGACCCCTGAACCAGTTGTCCCCACAGCCCCTGAGCTCCAGACTTCCACCTCCAAAGACCAGCCTGTCATGCCTGAGTCAACATTGCAGGTCACTCGGGGTAGAACACATAGGTTTTCTGTCAAGACCCCTGAACTGGTTGTTCCTATAGTCCCTGCAGTCCAGCCTTCCACCTCCAAGGAGCAGCCTGCCGCTACTGAGCTCATATCTCAGAGCAGGACCCGTAAATCTGTCAAGACCCCTGAACCAGTTGTCTCCACAGCCACTCAAGGCAGGGCACATAGGTCTTCTGTCAAGACTCCCAAAACAGTTATCCCCACAGCCCCTGAGCTCCAGCCTTCTACTTCCAAAGACCAGCCTGTCACCCCTGAGCGCACATCTAGGGTCACTTGGGGCCGTACACGTAGATCCTCTATCAAGACTCCTGAACCAACTGTCCCCACAGTCCCTGAACTCCAGCCATCCACCTCCAAAGACCAGTCTCTCATCACTGAGCCCATATCTGGGGCCACTCACAGCAGGACACATAGGTCTTCTGGTAAGACCCCTGAGCCACATGTCCCAACAGCTCCTGAAGTCCAGCCTTCCATCACCACAGACCAGCCTGTCACCCCTGAGCCCACATCTAGGGTCACTTGGGGCAGGACACGTAGATCCTCTGTCAAGACTCCTGAACCAACTGTCCCCACAGCCCCTGAACTCCAGCCTTCCACCTCCAAAGACCAGCCTGTCATCACTGAGCCCACATCTGGGGCCCCTCACAGCAGGACTCATAGGTCTTCTGGCAAGACCCCTGAGCCAGTTATCCCAATAGCTCCTGGAGTCCAGCCTTCCATCCCCACAGACCAGCCTGTCATCCCCAAACCCACATCTCAGGGTAGGACACCCAGGTCTTCTATCAAGACCCCTGAGCCAATTGTCCCCACAACCCCTGAGCCCCAGCCTGCCACCCCTGGAGGCCAGCCTGTCACCCCCAAACGTACATCTCGGGGCAGGACACCTAGGTCTTCTAGCAAGACCCCTAAATCAGTTGTCTCCACAGTCCCTGAGCTCCAGGCTTCCACCCCCACAGACCAGCCTGTCACCCCCAAACTTATATCTCCAGCCACTCGGGGCAGGACACAAAGGTCCTCTATCAAGACCTCTGAGCCAATTGCCACCACAGCCCCTGAACTCCAGCCTTCCTTCTCCACAGATCAGCCTGTCCCTCCTGAGCCCACATCTCGGGCCACTCGGGGCAAGACACATAGGTCCTTTGTCAAGATCCCCCAACCAACTGAGCTCAGAGCCCCTGACCTTGAATCTCTCACCCCCACAGATCACCTGGTCACCCCTAAGGCTCAGGGTTGTCAGGGTAAGACACTCAGGTCTTCTGGAATAAGTGCTAGGCCAGTTCTTACCACCCCTGAATTCCAGTCTCCTGTCTCCACAGACCAGCCTCTTCCCCCTGAGGCCATCTCTCAAGCCAATTGCAGCAGGAAGCTGAGAGCCACTAGGAAACATGGGTCCCTCACAGCTCCCATTGTCTGTGAGCCCTATTCTGCACTCCCTGAACCTAAATCTCGGTCCTCAAGGAACCAGAGACAAGGGGCAGTGAGAGTAGTTGAATCCCTCAGGACCACACCCAAGCCTGCCTTTGCCCAGCTTCCTGAGGCCCCCACTCATGCTACCCAGATCCAAAAGGTAGAGGGAGCAGGCAGATCAGAGTTCACCCCAGAGCCCCTGCCTAAGGCCTCTCAGAGCTGCAAGAGGCCTTTGGCTACTGTAGATTCACCCCCACTTCAAAAACGGCTCCAAAGAGGGGAAGTCACCCAGAAGACAGTGTTCCTCAAGGAAGAGGAAGAAGATCCAATGGAGAGGCCAAGGAAGGAGGAGGTGAGGAGAGGGCCGGGCCTGTGAAGCTAGGAAAGGGCTTAGAGACTCAGAAACTCCCAGCAAGATCTTTCTCAATCTCAGGATGTAGTGGCTCCAGGACCAGGCAAGAGAAAGAGAGACCAAGCAGAGGAGGAGCCCAAGGGACTCCCAAGCCGCAGCCTTCGACGCACCAAACCTAACCAAGAGTCCACAGCCCCCAAAGTAGGAGAAAAAGGGCATGGGGCTTGGTGGGAGACAGACAAGGGAGGATGGGAGGAGACCTAGGGGTTTGGAGACAGGCGCGGATGGTACGGGTTGCTGTGACCAGCTCAGGTTAACCCCCTCCACAGGTACTTTTCACAGGAGTGGTGGATGCCCGTGGAGAGCGGGCAGTGCTGGCCCTGGGGGGGAGTCTGGCCAGCTCAGTGGCAGAGGCTTCCCACCTAGTGACTGATCGAGTCCGACGCACAGTCAAGTTCCTCTGTGCCCTGGGGCGGGGGATCCCCATTCTCTCCTTGGACTGGCTGCACCAGGTGAGAGTCTAAGGAAGGACATACCATCAGAGATAACTGATGGCAGAAGAGCTGGGTGGTGGGCTGGGCTGAGCTTGTGTGCTCACTGCTACTGTCCTTAGTCCCGCAAAGCTGGTTGCTTCTTGCCCCCGGATGAATATGTGGTGACTGATCCTGAGCAGGAGAAGAACTTCGGCTTCAGCCTTCGAGATGCCCTGAGCCGGGCTCGGGAGCGAAGGTTGCTGGAGGTGAGAGGCTGTCTTCTGCCCTGTGCTTCAGCCTTCGCTCCAGAGGCTCCCCAGCTATTCATGGCCTCTCAGGGCATACATTTATGGACTCCACCATTCTTCCTCTTAGGGCTATGAGATCCACGTGACCCCAGGAGTCCAGCCCCCACCACCTCAGATGGGAGAGATCATCAGCTGCTGTGGAGGCACTGTACTACCTAGCATGCCCCGGTCCTATAAGGTATGAGTGCTGTGTTCTGGATCTGGTGAGGTGGCAGTTAAAGAGGTGGCTGGGGGGCGCCTGGGTGGCTCAGTGGGTTGGGCCTCTACCTTTGGCTCAGGTCCTGGGATCAAGCCCTGCATTGGGTTCTCTGTTTGGCAGGGGGCCTGCTTCCCCCCCCCTACCTCTGCCTGCCTCTCTGCCTACTTGTGATCTCTGTCAAATAAATAAAATATTTTTAAAAAATAAAAAATAAAGCAAGTAAAGAGGTGGCTAGAATGGGAAAAGGTTGGAGAACCAAACATGGACAAGAACACAAGAAGTGAGAGGGTGAGGGGAAGCTCTGTAGTATGTAAAGGGATAGGAATGAAGAAGTCTGCTGATTCCGAGTGGATTTATTTTTTTTTATTTATTTTATTTTTTTTTAAGATTTTATTTATTTATATGATAGAGAGAGAGAGAGAGAGATCACAAGTAAGCAGAGAGGCAGGCAGAGAGAGAGGGGGAAGCAGGTTCCCTGCTGAGCAGAGAGCCCGATGCGGGGCTTGATCCCAGGACCCTGAGATCATGACCTGGGCCAAAGGCAGAGGCGCAACCCACTGAGCCACCCAGGCGCCCCTCGAGTGGATTTATTTTTATTTTATATTTTAAAAATTTTCAAATATACGCAAAAGGAGAGAAAACTTCTATTATCAGTGAACCTCCCATATATCAAGCACTCAGATTTAACAAGGTAGTTTGGACTTTGCTACATTTTCTCCATTTATCTTTTTGTTCTTTGCTAAATTATTTTTTTTAAAGATTTTATTTATTTATTTGACAGAGATCACAAGTAGGCAGAGAGGCAAGGCAGAGAGAGGGGGAAGCAGGCTCCCCGCTAAGCAGAGAGCCCGATGCAGGGCTCGATCCCAGGACCCTGAGATCATGACCTGAGCCAAAGGCAGAGGCTTTAACCCACTGAGCCACCCAAGCACCCCTGCTAAATTATTTTAAAGAAACTGCAAACTTCATATTATTTCCCTCTCTATACTTAAAGTATACTCCTCTGAGATACTATGCACTTTCTTTTTTCTTTTCTTTTTTTTCTTTTTTTACATAATCACAACGCCATTATTGATCCATAACAAAATTAACAATAGTTTCTTGGTCATTTTCTTATATTCCATTAGCCAGATCTCACCAGTTGGCCAAAAATGTCTCTTTAAAATTCATGTCAGGATTCAAACAAGACCCATGTATTACCACAGTTGCATATCTCTTGATTCTCTTTTACTCTAGAAAAGATCTTCCCCAACCCACCTAGCCTTTTTTTTTATTTATTCCATTGACTTCCTACAGAAACCAGGTCAGTTGTTCTTTAGAATGTCTGAGTCTGGGTTTTTCTGTTTGCTCCTTTGTTGTATAATTTATGTTGTTCTTTTACATTTCCTGTAAACCATAGTTAAATTTAAAAGCTTGAATAAATTCAGGTTCAGCTTTTCTGGCAAGAGTACTTCTAGCTAGTATGCTTCATATCAGAGGTCTGTTTCAGTGATGCTAAAACTGATTAGTAGATTCTGAACCTACTTCTAGGATTCTTTTTCACTCCTGACTTTGTCTTTGCTCTGTCTTTCCCCAGCCTCAGAGAGTTGTGATTACATGCTCCCAGGACTTCTCTCGATGCTCTATTCCATTTCGGGTTGGGCTGCCCATCCTCTCACCTGAGTTCCTGCTGACAGGAGTGCTGAAGCAGGAAGCCAAGCCAGAGGCCTTCATCCTCTCCACTTTGGAAATGTCATCCTCCTGAAAACTTTACCACAGTACTCTTTTCCCTCCTAGACCAGTAAATAAAGTGTTAGAAAAGATTTGGAAGAAAGAACCTAGGGTTTTAGAAAGGTTTTGGATATACTGACCTATTTGTCTTGGAACATGGGTGGGGCTGAAAAGGTTTACGGGTAAACGAAAAGATAGGGAGATTTAGAGCCACAGATTTCTTAAATAACCACTTAAGAGTTGGGTAACCCCATACTCATCTCTTAAGTGGCTACCCTTAGCAGGACTTGATGTACTTAGTGCTATGAGGAACACACAGTGTCCTGCCTCCTGTTTGGAAACAAACCATTTCTCTTCTTCTTTTACTGGGATTCTTACTCATCTTCTGAAAGATAGTGGAAAGAATTTTAGTGTCAAGAACTTAAAGGGATGCTTGGAATGGGTAATTTAAGGTTGGAATTATGGAATGCTCTAAAATATTTTCCTTTCTTCTCACTCGATCTTGTTAGAAGCGTTCTTTAGCTTTGACTTTGAGCAAATCGCTACATTTTTCTGGCCTGCTTTTCCAGTATTTATAAAATTAGAGCTTAGGTTTAACTTCTGATAAATAAATATTCACTCTGTGCCTTATGGTGTAGTGCAGTTTTTTTTAACATACCTGAAATTTAAATTTTACTTATTTTATTTTTAAAGTAAGCTCTGTACCCAAAATGGGGCTCGAACTCACAACCCTGAGATCAAGAGTCTCATGCTCCACCAACTGAGCCAGCCAGGTGCCCCTTAAATTTAAATTTTAAAAGTTGGTTGATTACAATGATGGGGAGAAATTGGAACCTTTATTATACATTGCTGCTAGGAATATAAATGGTTCAGCTGCTGTGGTAAGTAGTCTGACAGTTTCCCAAAAAATTAGACATAGAATTCCCAAATGACCCAGTAACTCCATTAGTAGGTATATATGCAAAAGAATTAAAACTTGTGTTCAAACAAATACTTGTACACAGTGTTCATATCAGCACTTAACAAGAGCCAAAAGGAAAAAACAAAAACAAAAAAAACAAGAGCCAAAAGGTGAAAAGAAAATGTTCATCAGCAGTTGAATAAATACATGTGGCATATCCACACGATGGACTATTATTCATCCATAAAAGGTGGTGAAGTACTGATTCATGCTACAGTGTTTTGAGGATGAACCTCAAAGCATTATGCTAAGTGAAAGGAGCCAGACACGAAAAGTCACCTTGGATGATTCCACTTACATGAAATACCTAGAATAGGTAAATGCATAGAGACAGTAGAGTGGTGGTTGTCAGGAGCTGGGAGAAGGGGAAAATGTGTGCAGGGTTTTATTTTGGAATGCTGGGGTTTTACTTTGGAACTTGATAGAGACGGTGATTATACAGATTATGAAGGTATTAAATGTCACTAGATTTTTCTCTTTAAAATAGTTAATTTGGGGGCCTGGGTGGCTCAGTCATTAAGCATCTGCCTTCCGCTCAGGGCATGATTCCAGGGTCCTGGGATGAAACCCGCATCTGGCTCCCTGCCCAGCAGGAGGCCTGCTTCTCCCTCTCCCACTTCCCCTGCTTGTGTCCCCAATCTCGTTGTCACTCTCTGTCAAATAAATAAAATCTTTTTAAAAAATTTGAAATAGTTTATTTTGTTATGTGAATTTCACTTTAATTTTAAAAAGATGGGTGATTAGTTTGTGACTTTTCTGCAAGTGAATTATACTTAAGTTTGTAAAACTTTGGTGTAGTAGAATGAGCACGAGCTTTACTGACTTTTAACACTGCTGACTTCTAAACATGAACATGTCTCGATATATGTTAAGCACAGCCATTGTATGTGTGGCACATGGTAGGACCCAAATAAATATTAGTCCCATTGCGCAACTCAGAGCCTGTACTGTGTGAAACTGTCTATGGCCTGGAGGTCCAGGGGATTCCTTACAGTACCACCAGCTGCCTCTATATCCCTATTTATTTTATTTATTTTTTTTAAAGATTTTATTTATTTATTTGACAGAGAGAGAGATCACAAGTAGGCAGAAAGGCAGTCAGAGAGAGAGGAGGAGGAAGCAGGCTCCCCGCTGAGCAGAGAGCCCGATGCGGGCCTCCATCCCAGGACCCTGGGACCATGACCTGAGCCGAAGGCAGAGGCTTTAACCCACTGAGCCACCCAGGCGCCCTCTATATCCCTATTTAGCACTCATGTGCACTCTTAGTGACATTGAAGTGCCCTAGTTTAAATTTCTGGAGACTAGAGACCTTTTCTTACACTTCCAATAAATACTATAGCTTATAGCACAAATAAGAAGTATCTCTATCACTCAGGGTCCCAGCAAGAAATGACGACACTGTCAAATTAGGGTAATTTGGAGAGAGTTTAATAAAGTGAAATTTACAAAGAAATTGGAAGATTAGAGAAATCATAATGTTGCAGTACTCCAGTACCTCTAGCTCTTGTGACCACCTCTAAGTCCTAGAGGTTGAGAGGGAGCAGTTTTGCAGAGAGGGCTTCCTCAATAAAAGCTGTGATTTTCATTGATACAGTCCATTCAGGACAACCTCTTGAAGCAGAAAGCAGGGTGGAGGGTGCATCTGGAGAGGAATCATAAGATGTCTGGTAACAGTTTACAACAGCATTGATTAAGAGAGGAGGGTAGGAGTACTGAGTCTTGGGGTGGAGGAATGTAAAGGCTATGGGATGCTGCCTGGCAATTGTCTCATTCATGAGCCGAAAGCATCTCATCTTGGTAAATTTTCTTTGTATTTCTTCTGTCTGTAAGCCAAAGGATTTCACTTAATGATGTCTAAGTTCCCTGCTATGGTCATAGCCACTGTGACTAGGTCCTTAACATGATCTTTAATTCTGATGGAGGAGGGGCACCTGGGTGGCTCAGTGGGTTAAAGCCTCTGCCTTGAGCTCAGGTCATGATCTCTGGATCCTGGGATCAAGCCCAGCATTGGGCTCTCTGCTCAGCAGGGAGCCTGCTTCCTTCTCTCTCTCTCTCTCTCTGCCTGCCTCTCTGCCTACTTGTGATCTGTCAAATAAATAAAATCTTTAAAAAAAAATCTGATGGAGGAAAATCTTTCTTTTACTTTGCTTTTCAGAAGTATTAGTCTGTAGGTATTACAAACAGGTCTGAAGGAAATATATGTTCAGACAAAAGATGTTAGCGATTTCTCACTAGTAAGTGGGGTCAGACTAATAAGCTTGCAGAGTGAAGTCATAGATAGTTAATTATCACAGGCTTGGATAAAATTAACCTACTACAAAGTTCATAACAAATACAATTTTCTATCACAAATATTTTAACATTGTTACTCTCATGATTGCAAATCAACAGCCTTTGGCATTATTAGAAATAATCTGTAAGTGTTACAGAGAAGTTTTCTGTCCTTGGCAAGTGGAGTGAACAAGTTACAGAATAAACATTATGGTAAAATAGTCACTAACTCTTTAACAAGATGTAATAGGTGATTCAGAGCTTTGCGTTCTCAGTCTGGGTCAACAGTCTTCCGTCCTGTCGCCGTTTATGATTGAAGTGTTAACTGAGGCTTTGTAACCTCTGACTCCGGCTAGGTTTTCTGGCTAAGGTTACAGAACAGGGGGGGGTCATAATTCTCGGTTTCTACAAGAACCCTGAAAGAGAGGAACTGTCTTCATTTCAGCTGAGACAACTAGCCGAGCTACGATTCAACCCACACGAAGGGCTATAGAGCCACTGCCCTTTCCATTTGTCACTCGGAATTCTAACTTTCCCTTCTGTGACGCAGAGACTGCGGTCTGGGTAAAAACCCCCGCGACCCGCCGGGCGGGCAGAAAAAAGGGCGCGCCGCTGACCCGAGCCCCGGCATTTTAGCGAAGGAGCCCCGCCTTTCTGGGCGGGACCCGAGGGGCGGGGAGAGGGGCGGGGCCTGTGGCCGCGGGAATCCCAAGCCCGCCCCCTTCCCCACCCCTCCGTGTGTCGCCATGGCCCCAGCTCTGCTCCTGATCCCTGCTGCCCTCGCCTCTTTCATCCTGGCCTTTGGCACCGGAGTGGAGTTCGTGCGCTTTACCTCTCTTCGGCCACTTCTTGGAGGGATCCCGGAGCCTGGTGGTCCGGGTGAGCGGGAGGGATCAAGGATGAGCTCTGGGGATGGAGGTGGAGCCGGACGAGAGGGAGGGAGGGCGGGGCTTGGAGACAAATGACAGGGGAAGTCCAGGAGAGGTAACTAGAACCGCGAAAGCTGGAGAAGCTTCAGGGCAGACCAGAGGGCTAAATTAGGAACTCAGGGATTAGCGGTCTGGAGAGGCGAGAGAGTGAGAACTGGGTGGGGAGGAAAAGGGCGATAAGCAGAGGAAAGAAAGTGCTTTTAAAGAGAGGAATATGGAGGGAAGAGTGTTCGAAAGAGGGAGCATTTAGACCACGGAAACAAGAGGATCAGTCGCCTCTCCAGCCATATTCCTCCCCACCCTGAAGGAGGCCTGGGGAAAAGGGAAGAAGCAGGGAATGGAAAAGGTGGGCAAAGCCTGGAGAGGAAGCATTAAGACTCTTGAAGCATTAAGGGGAAATGGCCTGGGGCCCCAAGAAGAGAGTAGGATAGGGGATGTTTCCCATAACCCTCTTGATCTTTTGTCCCTTTCTTCAACTTCCCCTAGATGCTCGCCAGGGATGGCTGGCTGCCATGCAGGACCGCAGTATCCTTGTCCCCCTGGCTTGGGATCTGGGTCTCCTCCTACTTTTTGTGGGGCAGCACAGCCTCATGGCAACTGAGACAGTGAAGGCGTGGATGTCTCAATATTTCGGGGTCCTTCAGAGGTCACTGTATGTCGCATGCACTGCCCTGGCCTTGCAGGTATGAGGCCTTGGCCACTGAGTCCCAGGAGAAACTGTCTGTGAGAAGGGTGTCCTAGACTGGAGCGGCAAAGGGCCTTCTGAAAATGTGGGTTTAGGAAGAGAACTGAGGGTGTTGAGGACTCTAATCTCAGCTTTCATTCCTCCACAGTACATATTCTCCTTATCAAGAATGGTGTGCCATTACTCATTCCCCAAGCAGATATGTGCATTCTCACCTTTGCAACCTTGTTCATGTTGTTCTGCTTGAGATTCCCCTTGGTAACATCTCTTTCAGTGCTACCCTTTCTTCGAAACCTCTTCCCTAGGTCTCAAGAGAAGGCTTCCCAGTTAGCATTCACTTGTCTTCTCAGTGAGTGCTTGGTACTTTATGTACCTATCTGGTTACCCCCATCTGGTCTGCAAGCCCTCAGGGTAGATATAGGTCATCCTTACATCCTTGGGACCCCACCTAGGACCCCCTATGTTCTGACTGTTTGTGATGTTCATGGTAGAGGTTGGGAGAGCTGAAGGCCAGCCTGGGGTGGGAGGCAGCCTCTTGGTCTAGGTCTTTCAAGGTAGGCTGCTGAGATACCCAGTCCCACATCCTTCCCCAGTTGGTGATGCAGTACTGGGAACCTGTACCCAGAGGCCCTGTGTTGTGGGAGGCTCGGGCCGAACCATGGGCCACCTGGGTGCCCCTACTCTGCTTTGTGCTCCACGTCATATCCTGGCTCCTCATCTTCAGCATCCTTCTCGTCTTTGACTACGCCGAGCTCATGGGCCTCAAACAGGTGAGGCTCCCAGATTCCTACCTGAGACCTAGGATTCCTTCCAGAATGCCTTTTTCCCTTCCAAGGATTTCCCTCCTCCTTCTCCCATGCTCTTCCACCTTCCTCTTCTTTCAACTCCCTTACCTACTTACCTTTCTTATAAGACAGTCTCCCCTCAGCGTTCTGTCAAAGGCCTGAAACCATGGGCCTACTGGGACTGGGGAAGGTTCATGAACCAGAGATGAGGATCAGGGGTCCTGGTCTCAGGAGGGTGGTCCTTGGGCCTGAGTTACAGAAGGGGAAGTTTCCTGGAAGGGGAGGAAAGAGGTTGCTAAGTTGCAAAAGGGGCTTGATCCCATTTCTAAGCTGTTCTCCCTCCTAGGTGTACTACCATGTGCTGGGGCTTGGTGAGCCTCTGGCCCTGAAGTCTCCCCGGGCTCTAAGACTCTTCTCCCATTTGCGCCACCCAGTGTGTGTGGAACTGCTGACGGTGCTGTGGGTGGTACCCACCCTGGGCACTGACCGCCTCCTCCTCGCTCTCCTCCTTACCCTCTATCTGGGCCTGGCTCATGGACTTGACCAGCAAGACCTCCGCTACCTTCGGGCCCAGTTACAAAGAAAACTCCACCTGCTCTCCCGGCCCCAGGAAGGTGAGGCTGAGTGAGGAGCTAACCTGGTTCCAAGCCTGGCACTTTCTCTCCTTTAACATCCAGGCCCTGGCTGCTTCAGACCAGAAACCCAAATTCATGGACTGAAGGGGCTGTCCCTTCCCCTGTTTGAGCTTCCACTCCTTGGGCCCAGTTCAATAACCTAAATTCTGAGTTTCAACCACTGGACTCCAAGATCTACTTCTCACCAGCCTGGAAGAGGGAATGGGGAACTTACCTGTCTCCTCACACTTCAGGGCTTGACACCCCCCACCCAACACACACACCTTAAGAACCTCCTCATAAGGAAGAAGGGAGGGCCTGACCACTTCCCTCCCACTGTTACTCCCTTCTGCACCTCAGGGATCCCCTTCTCCTCTGGCTTCCCCTTCTAGTAGTGGGACCAGGGTCTGCAGGTTTGATAATGCCTTCCCTTCCAGGCTCCAAGTGCCAGCCCCCTGATTAGCCTTGCGGGTTCCTTAGGCCCTGGCCCTAGGCTCTGTCCTCTAACCTAGTTGAAAGGATCCTCCTGCTTTTCATTTTGGGTGACTAAGAGCTCTCTGCTCTCCCGAGGAACACGCGCAGCAGAAAAATAAAATTCAGCCTGTTTTTTTCTACATATGGTATGCAGTCTATCGGTGTTTCTCTAGCTAGAGGGATGACTTTGGGAAGGAGGGCAAGCGGAGCCCAGCACATCAAACTGGAGTCTGGGCAGCCACCGCGCCCTCTGGCGACCGCTGCCGTCAGGCCCAACCCCACTTCCCCAGGGAGGCCCAGTCCCCCTTCCTCCAAATCCACCAGTTTCCCTCGCTGCAGAGCAGGGAACCCAAGGGAGACAGGTTGAAGCCAAAGAGTGGGACAGCGGCTCTGGTGTGGGATCCAGTTCCCATAGCTGTTGGCTTCTGAGTACCTCTACTGCCGTCCCGCTCTCCACGGGCCCACCACAGCCTGGTGGTGGCCCTGGACCCCGCAGTAACAAAAGCCGGCCGGGGGAGGCAAAAGCGTGGGGAGGAGCAGCAGGAGATGGGAAGGGCGGGCCCGGTTGTAGCAGCTGCTGCTTCCTCTCCAAGTCCCTCGAGGGGCCTGAGTCACGGGCGGCTGCGTTGGGTCGGCGAGCTCGGGGCGAGGGTCTGGACACCTGGGTTCTCCGGGGCTACCGAGAGGGAGCGGGACGTGGTCCATGGGGACAGAAATTCAGGGCCAGGGATTGCGGCGGGAAAAGAGTCTGCGAGCCTAGTCCCACGCGAGGTCTCTGGAGCGAGGCCCCGCCCCTCGGGCCCCGCCCGCGCCCCCTTCCCTCTCCGCATTGTCCTCAGACAAAGCGGTCGCCGCCCCCCGCCCGGTCCCCAGGTCTCTGTCTCGGTCCCTCCTCCTCGACTCCCCTCTTTCCCTCCTCCTCTTCTTCCCTCCTCCCCTCCCTCCTGTCTCCGGATCTCTCTAGGTCCCACTCTCCTCCTCTTCCTCTCTCCTCCCTCCGGACGCCAGGCTCCTCCGCACCCCCTCCCCTGGGAGCCCCGGCGGCTTGTGAGTTGACTGAGGGGCTTCAGACTTGGGGAGGGGGTGTCTCCTGTCTCCTGTCCCCGGCCCGGACCTTGGGCTGTCTCCTCTTTGTGCCGAGATTGTCTGTCCGAGCGGTCCGAGCTGGGTGGGAATGGCCGGCTATGTCAGGGCTCCCTGAGAGCAGAGACTCGGGCATAGGACTGGCAGGCTCGGATGAGCGGACCCGTGGAGAGGGTTCTCTGCACGCCACGGTCTCGGGCTCAGCGAGTGGGAGAGGCAGGTGGTGGTGACGGGACCGGGTGGGGTGGACGCCAGGGTTCTGGGAACGTGCTGGCAGCCCAGACACCCGGGTTCCGAAAGTCCCCAAGGGAGGGTATTTCCCCCGAGCTGCCTGGGGGCGGAGTGCAGGGTGGCGGCTGGGGGGCCGGAGAGGCGTGGCCGGAGCCGAGCTGGGAGGGGAGCCGGGACCTCTGAGACCGCTGAGACGCGCCTGGCGGCTCCGGCGCAGCTCCATTTCCCCTCTGCCCCCTGATTCCCCTGCTCCCCTAGACCTCTCCACTCCTCGCCCCTCCTCACCGCCCCGACACCCCCTCAAGTCCCACCACCCCCTCTCGGGCGGGATTCCCTGATCTCCCTTCCCACTCTAACCGCCTCGGGGTAACGGTGGGGAAGCCTCGCCTGAACCCTAACACCCCCCCACCTCCCGGCCTCCCTCTCTCTCCTCTCATTCCGACTTTTTCCGCTCTTCTCTTCTCTCACATCCTCGGGTCTGTCTCTGATACCATTAACCCTGCGCTGCCAAATCTGACTCCCGCGGCTTTGCCCTGAATCTCTATTCTTCCTCTCAGGTCCACGACCCCACCCCCACTTGGCCCACAGCTTTTTCACTTTTGTTTTCTCCTTTCTTTGCCCTACATCTTCTCACTCTTTCCCTCTGTCTTTACCCTCAGCTCCTGTGCCTATCTCTGTGTCCCACCTCTCCTCCCTCTACTTCCTCTCCCCCCACCCCCAGTTTCACCTCTGGGCCTCTGGAGCCTCTCTTTCCTGTTCTCTGACCCCAGCACTCCCCACCCTCACCTCAGCGCGACCATGGCCACCATCCCAGACTGGAAGCTACAGCTGCTAGCCCGCCGACGGCAGGAGGAGGCAGCCCTTCGTGGCCGGGAGAAGGCAGAACGGGAGCGTCTGTCCCAGATGCCGGCCTGGAAGCGGGGACTCCTGGAGCGTCGCCGAGCCAAGCTTGGTCTGTCTCCTGGAGAACCTAGCCCTGCACATGGGACTACAGAGGCTGGACCTCCAGACTCAGATGAGTCGGCTGTCCTCCTGGAGGCCATTGGGCCAGTGCACCAGAACCGATTCATTCGGCAGGAGCGCCAGCAGCAGCAGCAACAGCAGCGGAATGAAGAGTTACTTGCAGAGAGAAGGCCTGGGCCTTTGGAGGCCCGAGATCGGAGACCGAGCCCTGGGGAGATGCGGGATCAGAGCCCCAAGGGAAGAGAGTCAAAAGAAGAGTGGCTCAGTCCCAGGGAGGCCAGAGAGAGGAGGCTGGGGATAGGGGGAGCCCGAGAGTTGAGCCCCAGGCCTTTAGAGGCTTGGGACTGGAGGCAGAGCCCTGGAGAGGCTGGAGACAGGAGCTCCAGACTGTTAGAGGCCCGGAAATGGAGGCTGAGCCCCGGAGAAACTCCAGAGTGGAGTCTGAGACTGGCAGAGCCTGGAGAACAAAGCCCCAGGAGAAAAGAGGTAGTGGAAAGTAGACTGAGCCCTGCAGAGTCTGACAACCAGAAGTCGGGGCTGACGGAGTCGCATAAATGGAGGCCTGACTCTGGAGAGTCTCAGGAACAGAGTTTGGTACAACTGGAGGCATCAGAGTGGAGGCTGAGCTCAGAAGAAGAAAGAAAAGACTGTTCGGAGGAATGCGGGAGAAAAGAAGAGAGACCAGTTCCAAGGCTGGCCTCAGAAGAGATTACAGAGCTGTCAGAGACCCTGACAAGGGAGGCTCCAGACAGCAGCTCCAGAGAAGTGGAGGCAGGAGAGCAAAGGCCCACCCCTGTGGAGGATGGTGAGAGGGGCCTGAGGCTGACAGAAGGATGGAAATGGACCCTGAACTCTGGAAAGGCTCGAGAATGGACACCCAGGGACACAGAGGCTCAGACTCAGAAACCAGTCCCCCCCGAGTCTGCTGAGAAGTATTTGGGGCCTCTTGGTACTGAGGCTGGAGAAGGGGAGGCTGAGAAGAAGGCGGGGGCTCAGGGCAGGCCTCTGAGAACCCCGCAGAACTACAGCTCTGTGCCCTCCCCCTTCCCACCAGAGGACGCTGGGACTGGAGGCTCTAGAAGGCAGGAAGAGGAAGCAGTGGATCTCCGGCCCCCACCAGCAGCCCCTCTGTCTCCCCCACCCCCAGCCCCACCTGCCCCCCAGCCCCCTGGGGATCCCCTCATGAACCGTCTGTTCTATGGGGTGAAGGCAGGGCCAGGGGTGGGGGCCCCTCGCCGCAGTGGACACACCTTCACAGTCAACCCCCGGCGGTCCGTACCCCCTGCAGCCCCCACCACTCCTGCCACCCCAGCCACAGCTGATGCGGCAGTCCCTGGAGCTGGGAAGAAGCGGTACCCGACTGCTGAGGAGATCTTGGTTCTGGGGGGCTACCTCCGCCTCAGCCGCAGCTGCCTTGTCAAGGGGTCCCCTGAAAGGCACCACAAACAGGTAGGGAGCAGCCAATTCAGACTTCTCAGAAGCCTGCTCCTCAGTTCTCTCTGGCCTTTCTTTTTTATACCCCCGTATTCTTGTCCTCCTCTATTCTTTCTTGTGAATTCCTGCCACCACCCTTCCTCCTCTACACATACCCTTCTGTCTTGTAGAGCTCATTTTCCATTCATTTCCAAGCCCAAGGATCCTGCCCCAAATCAAGTGCTGTCCCTGGGTGTGTCTCACAGGGTGTGCCCAGGCTGCTCACTCGTCATTCCTTCAGGCTCTGGGTCCTTCCTTCCCACCTCCTCAGCTCCCCCTCTTCCCCCCCAGTCCCATTTCTTCCCTTCCTTTCCTCTGAGTCTGTGACCGAATCTAGCCCTTCTGGTGGGAGACCTGAACCAAGGCTACAGCCTAGAATCTGTGAGAGCAGGGTTTTCAGTTGAAAGCACATACAGCCTTCCAGTGGAGTGAATGTTGGGCAGGAACCTGGCAGAGGCACAAGGGGTGGCTTTGGGGTAGGGAGAAATGGCAGGGAGAAGTGAGTGGAGAAGGGTCTCAGTCCCAAGGCAGAGAGGGTAGAGCTGAACAAGGGGACATCCTAGGATGGGGGCGGAGGAATGGAATAGGGCTGGAGGGCAGAGAGAAGACTTTTGAACCCCGAGTCTGCTCCATGGGAGAGGCGCACACAGAGGCCATTTGAAGTGGGTGACCTCAGGGTTGCACACCCCCAGCTGGGCCACTGCTTTAGACAGTGCTCCCTTCTCTCTTGGGACAAGAAAAGCCTTCTCTTCTTCCAAAATCCACCCCCCCCCAACTCCTCACTCCCCTTCTTCCTTCCTCCCTGGGCTTCCCCTCCCTCCCTAGGACTGGCTCAGCAGTTGGTTTTCCCCTCTCTTCCTGCTGCCCTGGTCTCTCCCTCCCTTTGGGGTAGCAAAAGAGAGAAGTGAATTTGGAGGCACTGTGCTGAGAGCAAGGAATACAATGGGAGTTGGGGACAGGGGTGGGGGCTGAGGCCAGCAGAGGGTCAGAGGTTAAAACTGGAAAAAGGACAAGGTGCAGGAAGTGGGAGCAGCTAGGCTTCTTGCCCTGGCTTCAGCCCTACCCCTTCCTTACACACCAACCAGTTTCCAGCTTGCAAATCTCTAAGGAGGGAGAGGTCCCTTCAGGGACAGGGAAGCCCTTCCTAGTCTCCAGTCCTCATCTCACCTGACATCCTCAGCTTTGGTTTTCTTGTGTGTCCCCTGTCAGTGGGAAACCACAGGGACCAGAGACCTAGATTGAGCTTTCAGGTCACTTGATTCCCCCAATTCATCTTCATGTGGAGCTCAGGCTCCCACCCCTGAGCCGTGGTACCTGAGTCTGTCCTGAGCACTCTGACTGCTACCAGCGCCTTCTCCTTTGGGCTGGGCAGATGAGAGTAGGTAGGTCAGGAACTGCCAGCATGAGGTGTTCAGACAAGTCACTTCCTACTGAAGTTGGCTTGTGCCTTTGGGGAGGAAGAGCAGAGGGAGGCATGAAGTTTGGGGCCCAAAGCTGGGGCCCATATGAGTGCAGGGCAGGACCTTTGGTAGTGACCCTACCTAGGTCAGGGAGTAGGGGAGCCGGAAGCAGATCACCCAAACAGGAAGCCTGGGGTGGGGGCCGGAAGGCTGGTACGGCTGAGTGGGGAACCGCTGGGCCCTGGGCCTGCCAGAACCGCTCAGGATGTGGTGAGAGAATAAGGAAGCCCTGGCTGCTCTGGGAGTGGGGGTGGGGAGAAGCAGCACAGAGTTTTCTAGACCCAGACACCTCCCCCTCCACCCTGTCTCAGGCCTCCTTCCCTCTCTCTGCACCCTGCTCAGCAGGGACTAGCATGCCTTGTCCCAACTCTGACCCAACCCACTTGCTGGGAGACCAGAGGACTGCCCCCCCCCCCCCTAACTTCTGTTTGCAAGCTAATGCCATCAAACATATCCTTGCCACGGGAGAGAAATCCCAGCCCTGCCCTGTGGCTGGTGCCCTTCCCTAAAGGCCCAGAGATGGGCTCCTCCCCTCTCTGGTCCCCTTGTGACTTTATATAGCTGATGGGAGAGGAGCAAGTGAGTCACACCCCTCTGTCTCCTCCCACCCCCACCCCCAACTCCCATGCAGGCTGTGCATTCCTGAGAAGCCCAGTCAGAAGTTGGGGTGGGGGGTGAGGGGTGGAGGGGGCTCAGAAGAGAAGCAGGGTTGGGGAAGAAAGACAAACATGACTGATAGCAAATAAAATTAATCCTTTTTCAGAGTGGATAATAAACTGTGGAGCTTGTTATCCCAAAAGGGGATGTGAAAAGAAAACAAATGGGTCCCCAGAAGTCTGAATAAATCTGTCAGTAACAGAACCAGAAGTGGTCCCTTTTGAACAGCTGGAATGTAAGGGGTCTGGCTGCTGTCACTCATTTCTACCAGCAGTTCCACAGACAGTGTGCCTCCCACATTGTTCCCCAGTGTTGATTCTCTGTGGGGACCACTCTCTGAGGTCTGGACCAACCCTTCCTTACTCCCTGTAGGAACTTTCATGCTCTTACGGACAGCAGACAAAAGATCACAAATAAGTAAATTCTCTGGTACATTAGAAGGTGGTAGGTAAATGATTAAGGGGGGGGTGGTTAGAACAGGGTAAGTGGAACCTTGAGGGCCAGAAAGTTGGGGGAGTGAATATGAACTTCAAATAGGGTGATTGGGAGACAGGGAGCCACGGGGATATTTGGGAAAAGAGCGTTCCTGGTAGAAGAAATAGCCAATGCAAAGCCCCAGGATGGGAAGGTCCTTGGTGGGCTTGACGAGGGTGGTCAGAATGGGAGCAGATGCCTGAGAGGTGAGGTGGGATGTGTCACAGTGGAAATACCCTGTGGGCCTTAGGCTCTAGCTTTTCCTCCCAGTGAGATGAGCCAGTGCATGGTTTGGAGCCAAGGAGTCTCTGAGTTCCAGCTTCCCTTGGGGACCCAGGTTTCACATTCCTTACAGCCTTTAGCATCCACCTGTCCAGCCACCCCCCCCCCCACCAGTTGCTCTCTTCTCATATCCCAGCCCATGTGGAGACAAGGATGCAGGGCCCAAGGCCTGAGTTTCCCAAACAGGTGCCTGGGAAGGCCTGAGTAGATCATCTGGACCTTTCCAAGGAGTTCACAGGGAATCCTCCTGTTTGTCTCCTTAATCGCCTTGGCTCCCAGAGGTAATCCCGCTCTGCTCCTGCCCCCTGAGCTTCTTAAAAGGGCAAAGGGGAAGGGTAGAAAGGCACTGAGAACAGCTGGGCCTCACCTGCTCTTGGGACAGTGTGTTTATGGATTTTCTGCCCTCTCCAGGTCCCCTCTGGCCTTTTGCCTCTGTCTCTGCTTGCCTTTCCTGGTGCATTCTCCACTGCAACCTGTGTTTGCATGGACTTTCCTCTCTGCCCTTGTCACCTCGCCTAGCTGTACCTTTCAGGGACTCAAGGGCCCATCTCCCCTGTGTGTTAGGGGAGAGTCTGGTTTCCTCTGGGCCTTTTGGTAGATCTCTTCTTCCCTCCCAGGCCCCAGCCCCACTCTGTTGTTGGTCCACTCCAGCTATAGGAGAAGAGTGAGGGGAGCAGGAAGGCCCCAGTGTCAGAGTCCGGGGTTTCCCCAGGAACTTCAAGGGGCTGAGGGTGTGGAAACTAATGGCTTGGCTTGGCTTTTGCCCGGGACTGCCTCCAGCCAGCTACTTCCTGGCAGGTCAAACTTCCCTCCTCCTCCAGGAAGCCTTCCTGGTTCCCCTCACGATGCCCAAAGAGTCAGTTCTGATTACAGGAGTTATCTCCATATATTTTCAATTCTTTTTATCCTTCCACCACCCGCAGTCTAAAGAGTTGGGACCCAAGTCCTGTATTAATCACTTCTGCCACCTCTGCCCAAGCTCAAGCCAAAGTCTGATGTTTTGGAAATAAAATAGGAGAAGGAAATTATGGGATTAGAGAGCCTGTATCAAAAGGAAAACTGGACCCCTGGAACCTCGGGCAAAGTCAGTAGGGTGCCCAAATCCAGCCCCCCCCCCCACCTTGCACTTGCATTTGCTCCCCTGGGCGCCTCTCCGTGCTAAACTCTGGGCCTCCCCACAACTGCACCCCGTTCTCTCCCACTCTCAGCTCAAGATCTCCTTCAGCGAGACAGCATTGGAGACCACGTACCAATACCCCTCCGAGAGTTCGGTGCTGGAGGAGCTGGGCCCGGAGCCTGAGACTCCCAATGCTTCCAGCACCCCAGAGGCACAAGCCGACGACGAGGAGGATGAGGAGGAGCTGCTGCTGCTCCAGCGGGAGCTCCAGGGCGGGCTGCGCACCAAGGCCCTGATCGTGGGTGAGCTGAGGCTCCGCCTGTCCGAGGGCACCCCCTGGTGCTCAGAATGGGCACTGCGGTCCGGGAGGGAAAGGGAGGAATTAATGTTGGCGCTTGGAAGAGGCTTGACGGGACCTCTAGCCCCACCCACTCCTTTACAAATGGGGAAATCGAGGTCTTGGGAAGTGAGATGCACAGGGGCTCTCCAGATTTCAAAACTAGGAATCTTTCTGAGCGCAGTAGTGTGGTTAAAAACACAGGGTGTGGATCAGACAGGCCTGCATTTGAATTCCATCTTGTCTCTTACCTGTGGTGTATGTAACCTCCAGGAAATCCCCTGACCTCTGGCCTCCGTTTATTAATTCTGAAATGCGTTTGATAATAACCACCTCCTGGGGTTTCCAGAGAGGATTCTGTAATTTTTATGAAGCATCTTGGAATTCTGGCTGGACATCAAATTACTTCGCCCTATCTGGGGTTATTGTGTGATTAAAAGAGTTGTAAGAATGCCTGACACAGAATGCAAGCCACATGAGTAATGGCCGCTGTTACTGTAGTAGCAAGCACTTGGCGTGGAGGATATTATAAGCCTTACGTTCAGTGTGGAGGGTAAGTGGGGAAGGTAGGAGGCCCTCACTCATTCCCTACCATTATTGCTTCCTCTCCCACAGATGAGTCCTGTCGGAGGTGAACTTCTTTCAACATAGGGTCTATACCCTGGTTTCCCGGAACTGAAGATCCTGGAGCCCAGAAGACTGAGAATAGAGAGACCCTGAAAATGAGCTTGGCAGGGAAGGGCAACCGACATCTTCCAACTTGCTTTCCTCATCCTGTTTTTGGGGGCAGAGCTAGTCTCCCAGTTTCCACTCTCACCAAAGGTCCCTGGTTTGAGTGTGTCAGACGTGCTGATGGCATCCTAGATGATTCAAACTTTGTGAGCATCAAGTCCTGAGGAGGATCATAGCACTCACTGGAGCTGGGGGTGGAGTACCTCCTCCACCTCCATGGGTGAGGTATCCTCTCCCTTCAGCTTCCTTGACTCCCAACCATACCCTGGGGGCTCTTAGGATTTAAGCACTCATCCTGGGCAGCCTGCCTCCATTCCATTTACAAGCCCCTCTCCTTCCTATTCTGTAGGCCACTGCCCCTTTGTTTATACCTCCTGCCTCCTCTCCTGACCACCAGCCTGGTTTACAAACCCCATTAGCTCCCTGCCCCACCTGTCAAAGTCCCAGGTTTACAACCAAACCTACTTGTTGAGTCCATGTGGAACCCTCTCCCTTGTCCCTGGCGCTTGCCTCATTGGGGGTGTGGCTTCCTCCACTTTTGCTCAGTATTACTGTACCTCAGTTTTCCCCAAGAAGGAATGCTGGGGATCTTAGCCCTGTACCCCCCATATAATTATTTAATTCTGTTCCTTCCAGTGGTCCACAACTGAATTGAAATGCAAGGGTGAGAGGCGACTAATAAGGCACCTCTTTCCCATTTCTCCTTCCTTATCAACTGCCTGTTTTGTTTGTTTGTTTTTTAAGTTTTCCTTAATAAAATGGAGTTCTCTCCAACTCTCCTGCTGCTTTTCTTTCTTTAGAAAAAAAGTATGGGTGGGGGAGGCTGTCTGTTCCTCATTCCAAGTCTCTCCCGTCTTCCCACTGGCCATGAAGAGGTAGTGGCCATGGCTGCGGGAGGGAAAAATGGGGATGAAACAGCAACTCAGCGTTGACATAAAGAAAGGGCTTGGGAGAGCCCCATACCTGTTTCTCAAAGGACTGGCAGGAAAAGGACTGGTTTGAGGAAGGGTAGGAGGAATCCACTAAGCTGGAAGTGCCACAAGAGCAGACTATTTCAGCGGGGTTTAATGAGGCATCCCCATGCCTTGCAAAATTACTCCTAGTGCACTTGCAGAGTTACTACCAGAATGAATGACTGAACAAATATATGAATAGATGAAAAAAGCTAAAATACTAGAAGCAGAGGACACACTGAATTGAAGGATTCTAGTATTTAGAAGCCTGCTAGAAGCAGCCAGCTTACATTAACTAGTGTATAACAATCGCTAATCTAGGGGAATTTACTCCAAGACTCAGGACCATAAATAATAAGTCTAAAACTGCTGCAAAATATAGTGTATGTAGAGAAGGGCAGTTTCCTGAAAAACAGTCTCTGAGAGACCATGGGTTTTATATTTCTCAAGGTTTAATTAAGAACCATTGATAATTCACAGCTTTGTTGCCCAACTATAGTTCACTGGGAGCTTTTCCCATTTCAAAGAATTTCTTTCTTCTACAAATGTGGCAGATCTATAGTTCACTTATCAGGGTTTGTTTTGTTTGTTTGTTTGTTTGTTTTGTTTTTTTCCCAGTTTGCTAGGGTAGTAAAGACATGTTTGAGTAGTTATAATCCTACCACTACAGGAATTTTCTTAGCTTAGTCAGAGGAGACTCCCTTTTACTAAATATAAAATAAGTAAGACAAATTGATCTTAAACATATACTGAAGTCTTTAATTTACTAGCAAAGGAACAATGAAGGTGTTAAAACAATGAACCAGTTTAGAGAGGGTATGAGTATGGAAGGAAACAATGCTTACATTAGTAGCTAATTAGGTAAAGATCCTAATCAGTTACCATCCAGGAAACCAGAGAGGCAGAAAGCTCTGAGATGCCAGGGCTGCCCACAGTCCATCTCAGAAGCAGAAAACAATGCATCTAAGAAGTAAATGCTAAGGAGTCAATGCTATGGCTGTTGGAATAGCAACAGTAAGTGTCTGGTAAGTCCAATTACTCATAGAAGTATGAAGTATGAAGCAGGGTCAAACCAACATCAGATAAGCAGAGAGTAAGGTAACAAGCTCTGCTTATTTTTGAATAAGCATCACCAGTGAATTAATCAAGCTGTTAGCAAAAACACAGAACATAGTTTACATATTCCTTAGTTTGGAGGGATTTTTCTTATTCTTTACAGAATTTTATTTATTTATTTGACAGAGACACAGCGAGAGAGGGAACACAAGTAGGGGGAGTGGGAGAGGCAGGCTTCCCGCTAAGCAGGGAGCCTGAGGCGGGGCTCAATCCCAGGACCCCGAGATCATGACCCAAGCAGAAGGCAGGCGCTTAATGACTGAGCCGCCCAGACGCCCCAGTTTGGAGGTTTTTTTTAAAAAATAACTTTCTGGGGCGCCTGGGTGCTTCAGTCGGCTCAGGTCATCCGCCTCCCTGCTCCCTGCTCGGTGGGGAGTCAGCTTCTCCCTCTGCCCTGTACCCCACTCGTGCTCACTCTCTCTAATAAATGAATACAATCTTTTTTAAAAGATAACTTTCTGAGAGCACCAAGAAAAGAGGGCACTTTTGTTTTTTCCCCCCAGATCCTGTTTCTTCCTGCTTGGAGGTCCTTGGTTACGTCTAACGTGTATTCATTCCTGCCGCAGGTGCCGGTACTCCCAAACAGCATGGGCTAATCCTTCATCAGCACGGACCTAACCTTCCAACTTGAGATATTATCTCCCACAACACACACAAACCTTGCATTATATTTGGCTCCATAGGACTTACAGGTTTTATTATGTATCTTGTCTCCCCACTCCCTTCAGTAAGGGGTTTTTGTCTGATTAGTTTTTTGCCATATCCCCGGCAACTAAAATTGTGCTTAGCACACAGCATTTGTTGAATGAATGAGTAAGCGAGGGATCCACAGACTAGCCATCAGAGGGCGACAGAGAGACTTAGTGGAGGCGGAAATGAAACGTTTTGCCCCGAGCTTCACGTGCGGTTCCGTGAAGTTTGAACTCGCTCGGCCACCATAGTGCTTAAGCCGGAAATGGCAGGCCGTTTCCGGTCTTCGCGGTTCGGGAAGACGTTTTCGGGCTGTCGGAAACCGAACCCCAAGGTTCTAAGGCAGGTCTTTCGCGGAACTCAGACTCCATCCCAGGGCTCCAGGCTTCCAGGCCTCCGACGGGCCCAGCCGCCAGCGTGACTACTGGAGACAGTTCAGGGCCAGGAACGGGGCAGCGTGGGTCACCATGGCGACGCCGGCTGGGCTGGAACGCTGGGTGCAGGACGAGCTGCACTCGGTGCTGGGGCTGAGCGAGCGGCACGTAGCGCAGTTCCTAATTGGTACCGCGCAGCGCTGCGCCTCGGCCGAGGAGTTTGTGCAGCGTCTGCGAGACACCGATACCCTGGACCTCAGCGGACCAGCCCGGGACTTCGCCCTGAGGCTCTGGAACAAGGTGTCTGGAGGGGCGGGGTGGGGCGGGGTGGGGCGGGGCCAAGAGTGGGAGCGGCGGGGGAGGAGGTGGAGCAGGGCAGGGGCCCCAGGTTATTTGTCCAGGTGAGGTTGGGCTAACTGTCCTTCCGAGAATTAAGTAATCTCAGTACCCAAGCACCTAACTTTTGTCCGCTGTCGCCTGGGTACTGTGCTAGGTGCTGGACGTCCAGTTCTGGGGAGAAGTTCAAGGAGGGTTAAGTGTTATAGAGCAGTGTTTCTCGAACTTTAATATGCATGCGACTCATCCAGGACCCTTATTAAAATGTAGATTCCGATTAGGTAGTTTTGGGATGGGATCTTAGTTTTTGCATTTCTAACTAGTTTCCAGGTGATTCCGACGGTCTACAGGCTACGCTTTGAATAGTGAGGCAGTAGAAAAGATGTGTGAGAGGTGCTGTGGAAGGGCAGAGAAGGTAGGGTTAGCGCTCAGGGGAAGGAAGCCCAAAGATTCCCCAAAATCTGTCTGGTAGAGAAGGGGTTAGGAATAAAGCTGTAAAGATGAGCTCCTGGAGGACAGGACTCTGTATTTCTTGTCTTTGTATTTCTCCCACCTGACAGCACCTTACAGAACAGGTGCTTATTTAAGCATATGGAAGAGTGAAAGTGTCCAGCATGTTCACAGAATGGCATATAGCCTGCTTTAATTGTCACATGTCACAAATGGTGCCTGGTGGGAGATGAGTTTAGAACCTAAGTGGTATGAGGATAAGACTTTATGTAAATCTGTTTAGCATGTATCCTGGAATCTGGTACAGTGCCAGGCTTCTGCAAACCAATCCTTATGGCGTATCAGTTCTTGCATAGGGATAGCTTAGTTATGGGGAAGCACAGAAGCTGAACAATTGAGAATTGGTTTTGAGAATGTAAAATAAACTCCATGAAGGCAGGGATTGTTGTCTTTTGTTTATTCCTGTGTCCTTGGTCCCTAGGAGGTAGGTACCTGATGCATCAGACAGTTTTTTTACGTGACAAAAAAAAAAAAAAAAAAATTGCAGATGTGATTAAGTTAAGGATCTTGAGATAGGGAGATTATACTGAGTTATTTGGTGGGTTCTTATGAGTGAAAGTGGGCAGGAGAGTCAGTGTCAGAGCAATGCAGCAGGAGAAGGACTTGATCAGGCATTACTGGCTTTGAAGGTGTCATTCAGTAAATGTTTGCTAAGTGAATGACTGCAAGGAGGTTCAAAGCTGAGAGGCCCAATTCAGGTTGATGAACATGGTGTGAAGCCATGGGGAAAACAGACAGTGAAGGCTGGTTTAAGATCAGGTCATTCCTTTTTTTTTTTTTTTTTTTAAGATTATTTTTTAAATTTATTAACTGACAGCGAGAGATCACAAGTAGGCAGTGAGGCAGGCAGAGAGAAAGGAGGGGAAGCAGGCTCCCTGCTGAGCAGAAAGCCCGATGCGGGGCTTGATCCCAGGACCCTAGAACCATGACCCAAGCCGAAGGCAGAGGCTTAACCTACTGAGCCACCCAAGCGCCCCAAGATCAGGTCATTCCTTAAATTCGGAATG